CCGCTTTAGGAGGTCTCCTCCGATCACCTCCTAATGTGCAAATTGGGATATTTGCGATTCGATTCAGGAGATGAGTAATAGAAAATGTACCTTCACTGTGTTCAGCATTATCCGCGCTGACTCTTTTTCGGCTTGCCCCCTGAGTGTTTACCTGTTCATCATCAAATTTCGGTATGTTCTTGTGCCATTGCAATTGTGCATGCGGATCTTCATGAAAATTATCCTGAAAGAATCAACTTTTTTATGAATGTATTCAACAGTCTTTCATGCTTTCTGGACGAACCGAATCGTTTCATTCAGTTGTTTTCATCACAGCAATATTTATCAAAAATTCTTAGTTGAATGTGGAAAAATTACACAACATCAGTTTAGTAACATCTAATGTTAATGAGTATCGTTTCAATCCACTTAAGATTCACTGCAGACACGATAAAAGAAAAACTTGTCAATGCTAAACGTATGCAAATTCGAAAAAATTAAATCCCGGAATTCGCGAAACCTGCTCCAAAGCATCCAGCTGTTTTCTGAGACGACGTCTACGAGCTGCATCATCGAGAATGCGCGTCGATTCAGTGGCCAACAAACGACCTGATATTTTTAAGGATTATTTGCAATAAATTTTACAATTTCATATGGTGTACTCTACTAAACCGCCACAACAACAAGTCATTGACGGAGTGGAAAAGTTTTTTGTAAAACACGGGCACTTTCTTCGAGTATCGATACAGTAGCTAATAAGAGGCAAAGAAATGTTTCTGCGATTAAAAATTCGCTTGCATGACAGGAGGCAAAAGACACTGTTTCAGTAAGGTTTGGCAAAATCACTGAAAAAATAAGGAGATGAGTTTGAACGAATTCAAAAAACAGACTGAAGTAATTACCAGATTGTCGAGCAGGATCTCGTCCAACAGGCATTTTTTCACGGTAGCGATCACTTCTCAGAAAATCTCACGATTACGTTCACCTGAAGAGAATGAGTGCTTTTGAGGTTTCCTGGCATTAAATTAATAGTGTCATATTTTCAGAATACGATCATAAGTGAATGCTATGGATGTGGAATAGTTCGCTCACATATTTCTGTTTCAGCCTTGTGGAAGCTATTGAACAGAACTGTAAGAAGTCTGAGGACACAGCGCTTTTGACTCAACTTAACAAATCGCCGAATTTTCCAAAAAACGAAAGGCAAAAATCTTATCGTCCATAGTTTCATTCATTCCCAAACCATATTCACTAAAAATTTAAATGCTTTTCTTTTTCTCTGTTACTCTGACGCTTCTCAAACAATTTTCCAGTGTTATTTTCCGTTGTAATGGTAACAAAATGTTGATTCTAATTCGGATACACTGCGGTACTCAAC